GCCTTTTCATGATGGTTTCACTGTGAAGATGAAACAGGTAACCCAAAAGGGCAGAGATGCCCAGGAGGAAGGAGGGTGCTGGGGGAGAAGGGGCAGGTGGACACGCTCCATGAGCTGGCACAGCCACACTCACAGCCCTCCCACCAAACCCCTGCAGAACATTTAGTGGGAATGAGGGCTCTGAAGGAAAATAGGGAGCTCCTGCCAAGGCTGAGGAAGAGGCTGTCAATCAGCTCAGCTTGAGCCTGGCCCTCCTCAGCCATACCCTACACCAGCGAGGGCAGCCACCAGGCATGGGCTCTCCATCCCGTGAGCTGCTGGCTCCTGCCCTGAACCCCACTCTTCCTCCCTTGGGAAAGGGCCCCACCTATAGGTGAAGGCCCAAAGAGCCCTATCATCACACCTCTCTACACAGAACTTCAGAGCAGGGGTTGTAGGGAGAGCATGGAAGAGACAGGTTCACTGCAGGTCTGCAAAGGGGAAACCAGGACACCTCTGCAGAGCTTCACTGTGATCTTCCAGCGGGCAAACAGGAGAAAGACAGTGGACCTAAACCTCAAATTAATGTCCCAGAAGTGGTAGGTGGGGTAGAGATTTGCAGGAGGGAAGGGCTGGGAGCTTAGTGCAGACCTGTTGCATGAAGGCAGCACAAAGAGGGGAAACTGCTCAGGACCTGCATCCTGGTGACTTCTGGTGTGTTCACAACCCAGCATCAAGGTACTCCAGGACTGTGACCATGGGCAGTGTGTTGAGGGGCAGAGCTAGTGTTTTGGGACTCGTGTGTTAAGCAGAAAGCTTGAGAAGTAGATTGATTCCTGAGCTCTTTCAGGACTGCTTCATGAGGAGGTAAATGGTGCTGTAGAAGTGCCAGTGCCCCTCCATCAACCAGAGTCCAAACAACAAATCTAGGTGTAGCTGTCCCCACTGTAGATGTCTAAGAACAGGTGAACACCCAAAAGTGCACTGAGGCATTTCTCAGGTTCAAGAAGAGTTTAAACAAGTCATCAGAACTAGAAAGCTCTGGTGCTGGGAACAGGAAAAGAAAAAGAGTGCCCTGGACCTGAACTCTGAACCAACAAGTTGTAGAAGGATGATGTGCATGATTCTCTACCCAAATTAACATGGACCTTACAGGATGTCTTTGGGACTGTGGCATCACAGAATCATAGAATCCTTTAGGTTGGAAGGCATCCAAAACTAAGACTGTTGTCATGAAGAGTAAATGAGAAAAAAAATCTCTGGATCCTTTTTCCACAGAAGGCCACAACTGAGGTCTTCTGCACCTTCACCAAACCATCAGCTCTTTCCTTCCCCAAAGCCCCACAGAGCTCACCCAACAGTGACAGGCCACGTTGCAGCCCAAGGATGACTTGGCTGGCAGGCAGGCACCACCTCCCTCCCTCTCCCTAAAAATCTCTTGACACAAAGGACAAAGCAATGCCTGTCCAAGCATCACAGATCCAAGCTGCTTGGCCAGTCATCATCATCCCAGGCAAAGAAACACCACAGTTTCTACTGGAAGGAAGCAGGAGCAGCTCCCAGCAGCAGAATACCCTGCTTTGTCCTGAGACAGAGCCCAACCCTCTCACCCTTTGCCACGTTCCCACCCTGCCTTCCCAGCTCCCAACCTTCAGCCCTTTCAACACCCACAGTTTTTCCACTCTGCTGCAAAGCGAGGAGAAATTCCCTGCCAGAGGACACTGTTCAAATGGCTTATTGAAAAGAAATGCAATTCCCTACTCCAGGCAAACAAGCTCCTTCTCTTCCCCTTGAGGAAGAAGGATAATACTACAGCCAGAGGAAAAAAAAAGAAAAGAAAGCAATCCCCAAAGCCTGCTGTAATAATATTAAATAAGAAACCAAAGGGGTTTGGCCAGGAAAATCCCAAGTTCAAAAGGATAATTGCTCCAAGAGATTTAAGCCTACAGCTGAGTCACTAAAATGAAGAAACCTTTCCTTGTCCATAGAAAGCAAACAAATCTTGGGTCATGCAGCTTCTGAATGTCCTTGTTAGAAAGAAAGAAGAAAGAAGCCAAATGCAATTAATCATAGCCCCAGAAGAAAGGATGAAATCTCTGTAATTAGCTACCTAGGCTCATCTTTCCACTTCTGAAGACTAATCCAGCATTCTTCTTTCACCCTTCACCTACAGCACTGCCACAAAAGTCTACAACAAATACCAGCTGGCTTCTCTCCAGGGGGACACACTCACCTGCAGCCTGTGGTCCCCTTAGAGCTTTGCAATGAGTCTTCAGGGAGGGGGGAACATCTACAGAGAGCCAACAGAGCTCCTCTTCTCAGTCACTTTTTGTGAAGGAGCCATTTGCAGGCTCTCCAAGAACCCAACGTGCTTGGCTGAACTACACAGCTAATTTTCAAGCTAGGTAGTTTATAGCCACAACCCTCATCCAACTGATCAATGACCAGAAAACACCAACTGAAAAAAAAACCACCATACAAACACAAAACCACTTTCCAAGTGGTCAGGACTACAACTGCTTGTTTTTATACATTGGCTTCCACCACATCCTCGGGTGGTGGAAATTTGCCTGACCATCACCCTGCCCATAGGAAATGGGTCCTTCACAGCTGCACACACTTCTTACAGCTGAGTGGACAGGGCTAAATATTAAGAGCAAGCTTTCCAGCAATTAAATTCAATAAGGCAAAGCCAGTTAGGGGAGCAGCTCTTAATTACAAAAGGCAAAGCCACATTCCACAGAGGAAACGCATCCAGGTAGGAATACAAGTCACAAATCCTTTGCTGCAGCTTCAAAGTTTTGGAGAGCATGGGGAAAGTGTAGTATTTTAGAGAGCAAGGGGCTGGTGGCTACAGCTCAGGAGTGCAGGTCAGGATCTAACATCCTAAAAATCCTACTCAAATCAGAACAAACCATTCAACTTCCCCGGGGCTCCCTCAACAAATAAGGGTTGACAAATATTATTTCAACAATGAAAACAACAACAGACCAGCTCTTTAGGTCAAATACATCACTGGTAAACACAATACAGTGGAATAATACCAAAATGACATCAGCTGAGGAGCTGAGACTGATTTCTACCCCCTCTCTTGTATATAAACCATCTGAATGGTGCTGTCAATAACATGGGGGAACGCTGGCCAGCTTTGTGGTGAGGGAGAACAAAGAAGGCAGAGTGAACAGAAATCTCCATTTTTGCCCTGAAAAGCAGCATTTCTGCCATGTCATGGCAGAGGAAGGAGACAGAGTCATTCTTCTATGGAAAAAAAATGGAAGTGATTACACAGCCAGAGCCTTGCTGTACAAATGTGGGAACTAGGAAGGGATGATGAACAGCCAGGCTGTAGGACATGGCAACAGGGCCAAGGAGCTTCAGGTACATCCCCAATGCAACACCCACTCCTTTCCCTCCAGGTCAGTGCTGCAGACACAGCCAGAGGAGCTGGGATGCTCTGGGGCTGTTCCATGGCACAGAGCTGCCTTCATCTGCTCGCAGGGCTCAATTCCTGCTCACCACCAGTATCAGCCAGAACACTAGAAATCAGTAGGTTGCTCTTCCAGTCTTTGCACAGAAACCTGGCAGAGGAGCCAAGCACAGTGTCAAAGCAAAATGGGATGTAGAACCAGACACCAAGTGGCTTTCTCAGCCTGGAGCTGCTCTTTCTAAAAACCAGCCCAACCCTCTGCGCATCAAGGTTGTCAGAAGGGTCCTGCCAGCACACTAGAGAATTCCTACCAGCCTTCCAGTGGGATGCACGGATCCTCAGGGTGAAACCCAAATGCTGTGGGCAGCCAGGCTGCTTTGCCCTCTATGGGGCAGAAGAGCAGCCCCAAACCCCAGCGATGGGATGCTCCAGCCAGGCACCAGCTGTGAATTCGAGCTGCCCTCCACTGGATGCGAGGGAAATAACCCCTGCCATGGGGAAGTCAAACCAGAGGCAGATTTTTAGGTGCCTAATTTCCCATAATTACAGGCACCACTCACTTTTCTCAGCGATCTGCTGCAGGCACAACTGTAAAGGCCAGAAGGTTTCAAACTAAGCAGCAACCTGGGGAGTCTGGAAGCTTTGTGTTGTCTGACAGCATCAAGCCCTGACATCCAGAAGCCAGACTGCATTCAAGTGTCTCCAGCCAACCAAAACAGGGGATTCTCTCCCACTACTGATTTTTCTATAAAACACTGACTGTTGGACACACTTGATTGTAAAATCTCAAATTTTTGCTAAATAATGCTACTCGAATGCTGATGTTTAAGTATGAGCATATAACCAAACACACAGAGGGGCTACAATCACTATTTGATTAAAAATAATACTTATTAAAACCCAACTCAACCATCAATATCTAGAAATACTTTAAAATCCTTAATGAGTTATTAGGAGCAACCTGGTCTAGTAGGAGGTGTCCCTGCCCATGACAATGGGGTTGGAACTAGATGATCTTTAAAAGGTTTCTTCCAGCCCAAACTATTGTATGATTATATATATCCACAATTTTCATTTTGTGTAACCATATAACAAGCACAAAACAAATCCTCCTAGGCAGCTTTGTGTCAATTGGCCCACACAGAGAAGGCATCAGCTACAAAAGAATGAAGGAAAACCTTATCAAGTTTCAAGCAAGAGAAAGAAAACTGCTGAGACTGCAGCAATTTCTTTGGCCCAACACCCCCAAGGTGCAGCAGGACTGTTTAAGAGCAGGCTCTGCATTGCATGTTGCTTTTCAGCACACTCAGCTCCAAAAAGAAGACAACCTGGAGACAGGCAGACTCCATTTCTCACTTCAATTTGATCTTAAATCAATTTCAGTAGATAGAAAATGAGATTTCCCAACAAAATCTCCTTAAAGACTGCAGGAGTAGCTCTCTGTAGCAGCATGGAAAGCAAAGCTTTGAGTTCTGGTATGATCCTCTACTGCCACCAGCAGTAAGATATCATCAAAAGCCACAGAGGAAGCAAAATACCCCTTTAGCAGCTCCCTCAATGACTGCAACAAAACCTGAACAAGTAGGCAACTCACCCAAATTTGGTGGAGAGGACACCTCCCAGAACAGAGCCCACGATGATGCCTATTCCAAAGCAAAGGCCCAGCTTCCCCAAGGCATCAGCACGTTGGGAAGGAGTGGTCAGGTCTGTAATAACCTTCTGAGCACCTACAGGGGAGAAAATAAATCCCTTGAAAGCAGCTTGTTACAACAGCAGCAGGTATACAAAATTTTGGGCCACAGAAGCAGTGCCTGCCCCAAAATGGTCTTTGCAACCCCAGGGCAAGTGCTCGTGCACACTGCTGAGTGGAATTGGTTCAGCCTGTCAGTCATAGGAAACAAAACCACTCAAACCACTTCACAAAGAGGCAAGAAGAGGCTTCACAGCCTATCTGCTTGAGCTTTCTAGCATGAGTTACACAGAATTGTAGTGACTAAAGGTTGTTCATGGTTTTTACTAGAAATATTGAGGAAAAGCCAACGAAAGCAGAACAGCGAGATGGGTGATGGAAGGTATTTTTTAAACCACCTTCCATTTTACAAGGAGAAAGGAAAAAGCTCCTATAAAAAGCAAGTTTTGCTCCTATAAAAAGCAAAAGAGAAGTTTGGGACAGGGCTGCTGCCAGCAAGTGATTGTCACTCATGTCTGGATAGTCAAGTCCAAGCAATTTGCTCAAGACCATACAGGAGGCTAAAGCTGGGACTATAGGCTGCACCAACACACCCCCTGCTTCATTTTCTCACCATTTCATCCCTGTTTAGCACCTCCCTTCCTTCATGCTGTTGAGCAAGAACAAGAGGAACTGGGCAATAAAAGCACTTTGAAAAGTCACTCAGCCCTGACCCACCTTACCTGGCATCCCGTGCATGAACACCGCTGGCAGCCTGGAGAGGAACAGCAGGGGGATGCTGGTGGAGATGGACAGGAGCAGGAAGAAGACACTTCCAGAGGCACATGAGAGAATTAAGGCTGCTCGGGTGCCAAAACGATCTGCAAGCCTGGGACAGCAATGGTACAAGGTTGTCAGGATTTGGACCCTGCAGGTCATTACAAGTGTGCTGCACCCAGCACCCCCTCAAACAGTCATTTGTTTCTTGGCTGAGCTGTAGCAAGACTCAAGAAAAGCCAGATTTTTCTCAGCTTCAATTTAACTTGAACACTGCTCTTTCACAATTTTTTCCTGCTTTTTAGGAATGCAATCCCCCACCACTCCATTTTTTGGGGGCCTGTTTGTTTCCTTAGGAACAGTGGCATGTGTCTCCTGGAGTAGAGAGGCAGAAAATCTGGGTGTTCTCTCCTCTTTTCTCATTTTGATAATGAGTTTATAGATGCACCAAGATTCATGCAGGTCTGACTTTGTATTAAACACTGGTGTAGCTACAGCAAGATTCAGCTGTAGAAATGACATGACCCTCAATTACTTTCATTGAGAGCTCTACTTAGCACAGCTAGATACCCTCTTTTTTAGCTTTCCCAGGCACAAGACATTTCTAAGGTTACTCATGGCTATAAAATATTTGCAGGATTAAGCCCTTAGGACCTGGGCTCCGAGGACTCTGATGGTTTAAGCCTGTTCCCAGTATATTATTACACTTAAATGTGTGCCATTAAAACAAGTTAATATAAAGGCTGCTTCTGTGTTGCAGGATTTCTAATGATAGTCTTTATTCTCCCCTTGCCCATTTAAGAAGTCTTCAAACATTTCAACAGGGCCACAAACCAGAACAAAATGATTTTTTTTAAAAAAAATTAAATTATAAAACTACCTTTTGCAGCTACAAAAAGGGTCATGAGAATTATTCTCACTCACCTTCCAAAAATGGGACCTCCCACGAGCTGGAGGACACCAAAGGTTGTCTGGAGGTAGCCAAACCCCACTGAATCCAAACCCAGGCTTTTTGCCAAGTACTGAGAAAGGGAATAAAAACCACAACAGGTCATGGGGAATGAAGCATGCTACCCTCCTGAATAAAAGCTTAATGCCTGTGTAGGGAGAACTACAGCTCCAAACAAGCAATTCCCCCAGTTTCCCAGAGCTACAGGTGAAATCTTCACTTGGCCAAGCACAGGCTGCTTAATAAGGACCAAAACTCTGTCCCACACCATCCCCTAATGACAATCAGGGTGATGTGATCAAGCCCATCAATCTGGCACCCTTTGAAGTCTAACAGAGCTGGACATAGCTTCTGCTAAGTGGTGGAGTGCCCATCCCTGGGGGGGTTCAAGAGACACGTAGATGTGGCACTTGGGGATATGGTTGAGTGGGGGGCTTGGCAGTGTTTGGTTTAGATAAATCACCTCAGTCATCTTAAGGTTTTTTTTTTCAGCCTAACTGATGCTATGAAACCAAACAGAAAAGTGGGAAGCAGTGATTCCTGCTCCCAGCTTGCTTGTTCTACCCTCAGACAAACCCACCTCCAATCACTGCAAGGAAGAAGGCACACACTACCTCAGCTTCACCCAGGGCAGGGAAGGGCTCAAGCTGCTCCTGCTGTGCAAATAATGACCCAGCTTCCACTGCCCAGGCACAGCTCACTGGCTAGCCAGGGACACACTTTCTCTGCTGGAAAGCTGGCACTGAAGACAAGATGTGCTGTGAAGCAGGACAACCCATACTCACAGGCATGACTCCCATCTGCATGAAGAGGAAGGTCATCTCCAGGGTGACAATCAGGTAGGTAGCAAGGATCACTCGTCCCTGCTTGGCCTCACCCAAGGGGCCACGTGCCCCCAGGGTCTTGCTCCTCACTCCTGAGGCTTGGTCCTCACCTCCAGAGCTGACCTGGGCCTTCATGGTGCTCAGGGAACGACTGGCTGCAGGCTGGAAGATGACACGAAGGTCGGGGCAGAAGCTGTGTGCACAGTTCAAAGCTTACAGTGTGAAAGCTGCCCAGTCAGCACGCCAGCATTCATTTTTCTTTCTCTTTTCCCCTCCCCTTTGCTTACTGGCCAGGCAGGATCTAAGGTAGCCACACATCAGATCACAGATCCCATTTCTTCAGCTTTGTCCCAGGTGGGCTCCTTGCTTCGAGTACCATCACAACAAAATCCAGCTTGAGAGTCCCAGCAGGGTGGAATTGGACATTGCCCCAAACAAGAGCACGTGACAGACCCTTCAGCTCCTTAACTCTTTCACTTCTTTCACTCTGGAAATGACTGGTTCATTCTCCATGAAGGGCACTTCAGTTTTCTTCTTGGAGGTTGCAAGTGAAGCATACAGCAGAACACCTGTTTCTTGCAGTAGGTTGACACAGCTCCTGGACCAAGCACAAGTCTTACCTGCAGACAGAGCTGCTCCCATCACCACCACCTCTAACTGAGTCATTTTTCCTCCTTCTCCAGCTGCTGCAAATTTATAGAGAACCTGAGCTGGCAAATACTCACACGTGACTCCACTCAGGCTGCAAATGACCAGCCAATGGCAAAAACGTTGGAGAAAAATGAAAAAAATGAATAAAAATAAGGAAAAAAAAAGTTATTAAATCCACACAAATCGTGAGGCTGACTGTAATCTGGGGATTTAAATAAACAAGACTCATTTGTCCTTTGAGGGTTTTGTTTGTTGCCTTGCTTGTTTACTTAGGGTTTTATTTGTTGGCTTGTTTGCTTGGGGGTTTATTTCTTTGTTTTCTTGTTGAAGCCTGGAAGTCTGGCTAGGTATTATCTTTATTTTAAAGAAAAAAAGAAAGCAGAGAGCCCAGTGCCCTGATTTGGTAGATCCACAGGACTTTTGCTAGGAAAGGACCTCTGGAGATCCCATCCACCCTCCTGCTTGAACACATGGTTCACCTCATTCCTGATGAGCGGGCACCACTGGCTCACACAGCATCACCACCACCCCTGGTCCTCACGCTGGGCTGGTGATGTGCCCAGTTGGTCCCCAGTTGGCATTGATGTGGGTCAATATTCTGCCCCAGGCTTGGGGCAAATTGCCACCCCTTTCAACTTGAAAACTTTGGTTTTGGTTGATCCAGCTCTCCAGATCCTCCAGCTCTGTCATGGACAGCAGCAACACCATCACTCCCTGGCCACCAGACACAAGTCTTGTCTTGCTCAGGGTGTGGAGTGCCAGCAGATAACCAGCCACATGCTCTCACTCAGCTAGAACCACAGTTTAATTCTCAGGGGCAAAGGACACAGTTCTGAAAAGGAGGGATCTAAACTTGGGAGCTAGTCCAGAGGTGACCATGAAGAATGAGCTGTGATCACCAGATTGGTGGAGGACAGGCTGAGGGCACTGGGATTGTTCAGCCTGGATAAGAGAAGACTCTGGGGGACCTTAGAACTGCCTCCAATACCTGAAGGGAACCTCCAGGAAGGCTGGAGAGGGGCTTGTCACAAGAGTGTCCAGCAACAGGACAAGGGGAAAGGGTTTTAAAGTAGGTTTAGACTAGATCTTAGGAAGAAGTTCTTCAGTCTGAGGGTGGCCAGACTCTGGACTAGGTTGCCCAGAGAGCTGTGGATGCCCCTCCCTGGAGGTGTTCACGGCCAGGTTGGATGAGGCCTTGAGGAACCTGGTCTAGTTGAGAGGTGTCCCTGCCCATGGCAGGGAGGCTGGATGAGATGATATCTAGGGTCCTTTCCAATCTCAGCCATTCTAGGATTCTAAGTTGTGGATGCTCCATCCCTGGAGGTGTCCAAGACCATGCTGAATGGGGCCCTGAACAACCTGGTCTAGTGGGAGGTGTCCCTGCCCATGGCAAGGGGGTTGGAATGAGATCATCTTTAATGTCCTTTCCAACCCAAACCACTCTATGAGTCTGTGACTCAGATCCTGTGCATCACTGGATGCCTCTGGATGGCACAGTGCCCAAGCCAGCTCTCAGCAGCCCAGATCAGGCTGCAGGAAAGTGCCCTGGGCACAACTCAGAGACCCTCTCCTAGCAATAATCTCTTTGGGCAGGACCATTTATCTCCCCATCCCTCCACTTTGACACAGACAAGGCAAAGGGGAGGAGGTGGTAGTTTTTAGCCACCTTTACAAGCCATGAGCCAAGCCACGTCCACACTGCACTGGCCCCAAGGACACAGGGATGAAACTTATTCTCCAAAACTGGCCAAGACATTGGTAGCCCCAAATCATCCCAGTGTCCTCCCTCCCAGCCTTCTGTGCAGGAACTTGGACTGTCCTGACTTTTTAAAACCTCACCCCATGACTCAGTTGATCTAAGGGCTAAATGTGGCAGCACAAGCACCGACAGAAAACCAGCCAGGAGATAGATCCTCCTCTCCTGAGTGAGAAACCTGTCTGAAGATGTCTGCAGGAGCCAAAGTATGATGGAGATTAATTCCCTTCCCAGCTACCCCCTGCTGAAAGCTGCATTTGTAGCCACCCAGCTAGGGGCCAGTTCCTCTACACCTGTAGGGACAATGCAGCATTGGTGACAGAGAGCAAAGGCTGGCATTGCATTTTTATCTAAAGGCTCCTTCTGGCTCAGTTACAGACTACACCACAGGCAGCACTCAGTCACAGACAAGCCATCTTTGAAAAATAAAGATGAAATTAAAAGCTGGGGAGGAACAGGTTATGACTAGGAAATGAATTTTCTCAGGTAGGATAAATCAGCTTTAAACAGACAGGTATTCCAGGGAGACTACCCTGAAAGCAAGCGAGGAGATGGATGGCTTGTGCTGAACCTGCAGATTAGGACATTAGTGATGCATTATGCCTTGACACTTATTCTCAACATTTTTGGAGTATTTATAGTTGCTTTCCCTGGTATATCTTTCCTGAGGCCTATTTATCTGGTGATCTCTGGAAAAAAACAGAGCGGGGAAACCTGAGAACATCTTTAAAAAAAAATAATTATAGAGACTTTGTGTTTATGTTACTTGGGTAGAAATGTTTTCTTAAACCACTGGGAATGGGAAACAAAGCCAGCATATGCACAAGGAGGGGAAATCCACCCACAGCAATACCAGCAGTTGAAAATATTGGTTGAAAAAGGATAAATTGTGGGGAAATAAACCCCAAATCCTTCACAGAGGAACCTCAGTACGATTTGTAGCACCACGAGGTACCCTGGGCAGGATTCACCTGTCTGCATAGGGTCAAACCAAGCTTTACAGCCTCCAAAAAGCCTTGAAGAGGGATGGGAGTGCAGATGTGCTGCCCAGCAACGAAGGGCATCTCTCAGGGCTTCAATCCTCGATGAATGTGAGCTGGGAGGTCTCACCAGCTCTGCAAAAACACAGTGAGATGAGCTGAATCCTGCTCCAACGCAGCTCCCCTTCTCTAATGCAAGAGAGGAAATGAAAGCAATATCTCAAAGCAACACCCCAACAGTGGGAATGCCAACTTGCCATAATGCAATTAAAACTGCTCATCACCAGTCCACAGGATTTGGCCCAACCCCTCTCCTCCCCCAGCCCTGTCACGGAGGGAACAGGACTCATTTGTAGCCTGGTGAAAGATTTATAGATTTAAGCAAATAACAGCAGAGACAGCCCGCTAGTCCCAAAATTTTGTCCCATGTTTGTTGACTGATTTATTCCTTTGTCTAATTGTGTTCATGAAAAAAAAACAACAGCTCACTAATGAATGGAAAAAAGAGTCCACATGGCCAGCAGAAAAAAAAAGCAGCGAGCCATGTTTAGTTTACAAAATAGCACAGTCTTCAGGGATTTTTCATAAAAACTACAGAGACAGCCCAAATCGGCAATGAAATCAGATTCCCAGTGGCTGCTGAGCTCTTCTGGCTCTTTTCTATGTGTGTATTAAATAGCAAAAAAAAGCAATTATTTCTAATTTGTTTTTATAAAGACGCTGGTGCGTTTATTCCGCCGGGCAAATGGTTTTGGGAACTGGAAAAGGCCATTGTTCATTCTTTTGGTCAAGTCTTTGTTGCTTAGAATATTAAACTGCAAATCCCATTTTATCTGAAATATGGCTGGTTGTTATTAACTTCTCAATGGTAAAGCCCCAAAGCTGCAGCTTAAGAGCGAGGTCCCATTTAGTGCTCTGCAAACACAAAAAGAGGTTGAGACTCAGATGAGGGGAAAGAATTAGATCCTCCTTGCCTTGAAGATGGGTTCCTAACAGACAGAGGGGTTTAGTGACGTCCCTGAAATCACAGAGGAAGTCTGTGGAAGAGGCTGGAGTCAGACTTGATCATCCTTTGGACGCCAGTCCTGTTGTTTAACCACAGGGCAGTTTCTCCTCTCTAGTATTCTGGAAAATTAAACCAAAAGAGAACGTTTCTGAGTGCTGGAATTTGACAACAAAATATGCAGCCGGGGCAGAGACTGTGTCAATTGTAAAAGAGTTTTGGAAAAATCCCGTGGCCTGAATTCAGGAGAGTTACACCAAGAATAACATGACCAAATAGGAAGAAATAGCTCAGTTCTTTGTAGCCATCCAGTCTCATGGGCTCCAGCAGGACCTCGCTGGGGCAGAAGCCTCTCATGCCTGCTCACACTGAGTGGTACCTTGCTTAGGATGATTTCTCCTCACCTCTGGAGTCATCTTCCCAGGTGCTGCCATGGCTGTGGCCCATCTCTACCCCAAAATCTCTCCTGAGCAAACAGAAACCCCCCAGGTTTCAACGAGCTGCTGCCAGAAAGGCTGCTGGGCTGCCTGGAGGACAGCCACCACTGATGTCCTTCAAGCAGAGACATCAAAAGACATCAAATGCCACCAGCCTCCAATGCTCTGCTGTGCCAGGACATTGAAGAATTGCCAAGAACAAAATGACTCTTCCTTTAGTGGAAGCCCAGGTCTGCTGGGTGAGCTGGGTGAGGGGTGATGTCCCCAAGACTTGCCATTCTTCTTCCTAATGTTCACTCTTAGTTTAA